ATAGCAGAAAACTGGAAAAGCTGTTTGACAGATGAGTGGAGTTATCTGTAATGCAGAGGAGTTTTTGGGTGAGGTGAGTGCAATAGATGTCCTGGAGGGAGGGAAACGAATCACTCACAATCCTCTCTATTACTCTCACTACTCAATATAGCTTTTTCTGGCAGGACCCAATCAGAAGCCATTAGATACAGTGATGCAACTGGTGAGGATACTCTTAACAGTGCCTTTGTTGAAGGCGCTCATAATGGGGGTTGAAGCTCTTGCACTCCTCAGTATGTGGGGAAGTAGAGTTGTTGTTAGGCTTTACTGGCCAGTGATGCTGTGTTCTTTGAGCAGGAGAGATCTTCTGAGATGTGCACACCAAGAAACTTGAATCTAAGAAAGCTGCCTATATAGGTTAAAAGTACTGACATCAGTATTGGTATCGGTAATACTGGCCCTGTATTTATTTGATATCAGATTGATACCAAATCTGCAGTATTGCAGAACACTGGGCTTTGACTAATATTTGTCAAGGAAGGCAAATATCAGATTGGGAATACTGAAACTGCCAACATTCCTGAAACATTTCATCAACATAAATGTTAAAATACTGGCTCATGCATAAATACAAATGTTTACAGTTCAATGTTTTGTTTTGTTTTTTCATCAAAACGTCTATATTTTCTTTTTCTTTTTTTTTTAACTTTAGTTCGAGTCCTTCTGGGTGGACGGTTTCTCTTGGTCTTCAGAGCCTACAGGGTGCAAATCCAAATAAGGTGTCCAGAAATGTTGTCAAAATCATTTTGCACCCAAACTATGACAGTATGACCAACAACAACGACATCGCTCTGCTCAGACTCTCCTCACCAGTCAGATTCACTGACTACATCAGACCTGTGTGCCTGGCAGCGAGTGGCAGCGTGTTCAACAATGGCACTGATAGCTGGGTGACTGGCTGGGGTGCAGTCAAAGAGGGAGGTGAGGCTGTTGTTGGTGTTTCAGTGTTCATGTGTTCTGTGGTTCATTGGTTTGTGTGTAAACAGCTCCTCATCTTTCTTCCCATCAGTGGCCTTACCCTTCCCTCAAACGCTGCAAGAAGTGGAGGTGCCAGTTGTGGGAAACAGACAGTGTAACTGCCTGAATGGAGTGGGCACAGTCACAGACAACATGATCTGTGCTGGTGTTCTGGCAGGAGGCAAAGACTCATGTCAGGTAGGCTTCCTCATCTCATTTGGTTACATAA